TGAGGTGGAAGGATAGCCGGAGCTCAGCAGGTCGAGGCTGCATTGGCCAGGAGCGGCCACTGCACTCCAGTCTGGGTGACAGAGTGAGACTCCAACTCAAAAAAAAAAAGTGTATATATATATATATAAATAAAAAAATATATGTAATATATATTTATATATATATATAATAATTATATATATATTTTATATATATAATATTTTAAATATATATATTTTTTAATTATAGAGATGAGGTCTTTCCAAGTTGCTCAGGCTGATCTTGAACCCCTGGGCTCAGGTAATCCTCCTGCCTCTGATTCTCAAAGTGCTCCAATTACAGGCATAAGCCACTGCTCCTGGCCAAATTCATGTCTTTACCAACCTGTCCTCAGAGTGATTTCTTTGGAACAGGTAAATATTACACGAGCACCCTGTCTGATTTGGGGCTTCCACTATATACCACATTAGACTCCTCACCCAGGCTGCAGACTAGGTAGTTTTCTCTGTCTGGAATGGAGTACTCTTTCCAAGTCTGTTTTCCTGGGGAACTCATCCTTGGGATGGAGAGAGCCGGGATGGAGAGGTGTCTTGTTTTCTAATCTTTATATATATATTTTATAGAGATGGGGGGAATATTAATGTGTTGCCCAGGGTGGTCTTGAACTCCTGGCCTCAAGTGATCCTCCCTCCTCAGCTCCCAAAGTGCTGGGACCATAGGCATGAACCACCGTGGCTTGCCACTTGCTTCATAATCTAATTTGAACTAGATAATGTATATGCTGGAGCTAATTGTTCAAAGCCCAGGCTTCACTGGGCACTGTGGCTCACATTTGTAATCCTAGCACTTTGGGAGGTGGAGACAAGAGGAATGCCTGAGTCCAGGGGTTCGAGACCAGCATGGTCATCTTTACAATAAATCAAAAAATATTAGCCAGCATGGTGGCGCACACCTGTGATTCCAGCTACTTGGAAGGCTGAGGCAGAAGGATCACCTGAGCCCAGCAGATTGAGGCTGTGGTGGCCGTGAGAGTGCCACTGCACTCCAGCCTGGGCGACAGAGTGAGACTCCAATTCCAAAAACAAAAACCAGAATAACAGCCCGAGTTTCTTGTGTTCTCAGCAGTCCATTTTCTGGTTTTACTCAGTTAGCTTCTTTGTTCAGGTCTCCATCTGGTGGTGTCGATGGGAGAGTCACCTGAATCTGGGTGGAGCCATCCTGGCCCTCTGCTCCAGACCCAGGAGCTCACCGGGACCAACCAGGACTGAGCTTGTCACAGCCCCTATCACTTGGCCAGCCCTGGAGCAGGGCCTTGCCTTTCCTGAGGGACAATGATCCAAGTTTACACACACATAGCAGGGGATAGAAGACGTAGACAGGAAGTGACGGAAGTCACAAGGTAGGTATGCACTAGAAGCGTCAAAGAAACAAGTCAATGACAGGCTCAGTGTCTGTTAAATCCAAGCCGTTTTATGAGGAAACCCAGCCCAGAGAGAGAGGCAACCTGCCAAAGGTCACCCAGCTTTAACTCTTTCCTGCATAAAGAAAATTGTTAGATAGAAAGAGTCTTTGTACTTGGACATCCCATGGAATGTGAGCTCTATGACGTGATGGCAGTGAAAAGGGACAGTCATTTAGAAAAGACTTAAAAACTTGTGTTCCAAAAGCAGAAATAGTTTAATGATGCTAAATACATAAGTTTCACTAATAAGGAAAGCAGTCTTGCAAAACAGAATGACCTTAGTCTCACAGCTTCCCAACGGGGCACCTGTGTCATTATACACACTGGATGCTACACTATCCTCCCAGATGACTCAGGGAATGTAACAACAAGGCTGGACCAAATGAAAGCCAACATCAATGTCATAGGTGATTCAAATGCATACAGTAAGGAGGTGCTTGGGAAGGTTTCAGATGGGTTCTCAAACATTTTCTCTTGGATCCCGTCAGGTCTTTTTTTTTCTTTCTTCTTTTGGGAGTCGGAGTCTCACTCTGCCACCCAGGCTAGAGTGCAGGGGCACGCTCACAGTCACTGCAACCTCCACCTGCTGGGCTCAGGTGATCCTTCCAACTATCTGGGAACTATAGGTGTGCGCCACCACGCCCGGCTAATTTTTTGATTTATGGTAGAGACGAGGTCTCACCAAGTTGCCCAGGCTGGTCTTGAACCCTTGGGCTCAGGCAATCCTCTCACCTCTGCCTCCCAAAGTGCTGGGATGACAGGTGTGAGCTACTGCGCCCAGCTTCCCTTCGGGTCTTAAAGATATTCTATCAGAAATTAAAAAGTTCCTTCCAGCTATGTTAATAATAGAAGTCTTAATATATGTGTCCTTCAAACTTTATATGGGAATGCACTCAGGATTTCTAAGCTTGTAACCAAGTCTCTAACCCACAAACATCATCAGAGGGAAAAAGTCATACGAATGTTTAAACAGAAACAGCAAAACAAATAACTCCATGAAGGATATCATGACTTTAACTGACAGTGGAGAAATGATGAAATAATTCATGATTGTTTGGTTGCTTGGGGGTACTGCCCTGCACACAACTGCATTCCTTAGAGTTATAAGACTGTGCTGATCCTCCCTGGAACAGAATGAGTCACTGACCCATGGTTGTATCCACCTAGTTAGTAAAATAGATTGTTTCATTTCCACAATCAATAAAGTTAGAAATACAATTATATTAATCTTGTAACAGTAACCAGTAAGCTCCACTAACTCCTTTGTTTAGAGTTACTGATAAATGAAAATTACAGGCTCTTGGTAATTGGTACCAAAAATATGCCAACAGTGAACGTTGTCATTGATGAAATGCAATTGTAACTGGAAACCTACAGACTGCTTTGTAAGCCATGTAGTTTGATGTTAATCAGTAGCAAACCTTTATATGCTTATAAATACAGACTGTAAAATCCAAGGAGCTAAGCTGGCATTGGTATCTATACTGGCTTGTCTCCCTGAATTCCGGATTCCGAAATAAACTTCTTTCTTCCCAGTTCTCTGCCTCTTGGGTTTCACTGATAAGCAAGAGAGCAGCTGTGTGTTCCACGGACCATTTCAGCAGGGGCTGTGTCTTGTTCAACACCATGTCCCAAGTGTAGCACCAGGCACGTGTAGCAGGTGCTCAAGAGGTGTTTGTTGATGGAATGAATGTGTGTATCTGGTGACTTGGGATTCTAATTCTTCTTCTGCTACTAAAATAGCTGTGTTGGATCCTACCCAGCGTTGGGGTTTTTCAGGATACGTGGAAGGAAGGACAAGGAAGTTGGAGTGATAGACTACTTACACAGGAGTCTGAGAAGAAATGAGAGTCATAATATCTCTCCGTGCTCAATAAGCAATTTACAGTTAACATGATGATCTCATAGTCCTAGATTCTGGAAGCAGGTTATTTTTTCTCCTTGCCCTGATTACCAACTGATGTACCGTATATTTTGTTTGCTGTCTATCGGCTGTCATTGGAAGGCAGGAATTCTGATTGGTTTTGGTCACTCCCTTATCCCTTGATAAACTGGGTAAGAACCCAGTTTATGAAGCTGTAAAGGCAAATAAAAATATCAGGACGCCCCAGATTTATGTAAAAGTGAAGATTAAGCCCTGAAGCTGAGTCATTGCTACACCCTCTTCCAAATGAATAGCTGTTACTAGCATTGTGCATCACCCAGATCCCCAGGGAAAGGTAAGAGCCTCAGGCATCTGAGCCTTCAAGGGCTGCCCCCACAGACCATTCATAAGCAAATTCTTGGCTGGCCTCCCAGGGACAAGGATGCGCCGCTTGCAACTTTGGGTCTTAGGTTTACATCTAAGACTAGCTACTCAAACTCCACACTGAAAATGTCATTACAAGCTAATCTTCCCAGGTGCAGAGCAAAGTCAAGACTCGTTCCTCCCCCTACACCAAGACAAAGACTCTGCCTTTGTTCCCCTCTTCTCTTCGGACATTCACCTTTTGTGAAAACGTGACTGTGGGTTACAGTCCCACAGGAATAGAACGATTCGCCTAACTGCTTACCTGCTTCTCTTCCTGCGTGTCTTCCTCCTCCCCCACCCCTTTAAGGAAATGTACAAACACTACATCTCCTGAAAGGCTCTTCGGTAAACAGCCTCGGGTGTGCCTGTGGCTCGTGTTTTTCCCAGGTGCGCCCTAAAGCTGGTTTAATAAACCTTAATAAACTTACACCTCCGTCATTCACTTCGGTTGTCAAAGCTTTTCTTTCTTATCTGAAACAGGTTAGGAAGAAAAGAAGAAGAAGAAAAAAGCTTTCCTTTCGCATCTCAACCAAGCCTCCCATACCCTCTAGATCCTGAGCGGTTCCGCTCCGCAGATTAGGAAACTGAGACCAGAGAGGTGAAGGTGCTTGTCCAAGGTCACACAGAGACGGATTCCCGACCTCCCATCAAGACCCACGCAGCTGCTGAAGGACACAGTCTCGTAAACCCGTGTGGCACAAGCGACTTCTCCTCCCTCCTGCCCCTCGCTAGCGCTTTCCCTCCGACCTCGTCTTCACCCGCCAGCGCGCATCTGCGTCTAGCCGGGATGCCGGAGCCCCAGCGCGCTCTGTTATGCTTGCGGCTTCGGGAGACACGTGCTACTCGGGTGAATGAATCGAACGTCCCCACCCCCGCCGACAGCCAATCACGGCGTGCCGGGGCCCGCCACTTCCGCCTATTGCGGGCCTAGGCCTGGGTCCGGCGGCCCACGTGAGGCTCCAGAGACAAGGGAGTAGGCGGCGGCGCGCCGGGGGCGGGCTCTCTCGGCCTCTCCACCAATCCGAGAGCTCTCCAGGGACGGGTGGGGCGGGACTGACGCGGGGCGCCAAGGCTTAAACATGACGGACAGGGGGGGCGTAGGGAGGAGTCTCGAGCCGTGAGCGAGGAGTGACAGAGCACACTGCCCAATAACGGGAGGGGTTGGGCTGCCCGGACCAATAGGAAGTCTCCGAGGCGGGGCCGAGACTGCAGCAAGTTCGGTTGCGCGGAGACCGCAGCTGTTCCCTGTCAGTGGAGGCAGCGGTGGTAGCGGCGGCGGCGAGGAGGTGAGTCTCCGCGGCGCTCCTCACGTTCCTTTTTCCGCGGCGGGTCGGAGCGGGTGGGCGTGCGCCGGCGCCGCCACGAGGGACGCTTATGTAATGGTCGCGCGCGCAAAGGC